AACTCCTGGGCTCAAGGCATTCTCTTGCCTCAGCCTCCTAAGTAGATGGAATTACAGGCGCCCACCACAACTATTTTTTGGCTATAGTTGTCATTGTTGTTTGGCAGGCCCAGGCTGGATTTGAACTTGCCAGCTCTGGTGTATGTGGCTGGCATTTTAGCCAATGAGCTACAGGCGCCAAGCCTGTGGTCATTATTATTATTATTATTATTCTTTTGCAGTTTTTGGCTGGGGCCGGGCTTGAACCCACCACCCCCAGTATATGGGGCTGGCGCCCTACTTCTTGAGCCACAGGCACCACCATTATTATTACATATATATTTTTTGTAGAGACAGAGTCTCACTTTATCCCCCTCAGTAGAGCTGTGGCATCACACAGCTCACAGCAACCTCCAACTCCTGGGCTTAGGCGATTCTCTTGCCTCAGCCTCCCCAGTAGCTGGGACTACAGGTGCCCACCACAATGCCTGGCTATTTTTTTTGTTGTTGCAGTTTGGCCGGGGACGGGTTTGAACCCACCACCCTGGGTATATGGGGCTGGCGCCCTACCCACTGAGCCACAGACTTATTCATTTAATATTCCTAGCCAAGATTCTGAACACTTACCAGGTAGCAATAATAATACTTTGTTTCATCAGTTCTAAGATGAACATTTTAATATTTCTGAAAGTGGGATGGATCTTACAAACTTACAGGCAAGCACAAAATTAGTGTCTGAAAACGTCTTGATACTATCCATGTATTAACATGTCTTTAATTTCAGTAAATACAGAAATAATAATTACAATAGCAACAAGCTAGTATCACAGCAAACCCATACCAAATGTCACAAGAAGACGTGATATTTTCACTGATTATCTTGGACAACAAAGATATTAATGAAAGGCTCGGCACCTGTCGCCTGTCCGTAACACAGTAGTTATGGCGCCAGCCACAAACACCTGGTCCGGGACAGCTAAAGAACAATGACAACCGCAACAAAAAAATAGCCAGGCATTGTGGCAGGCGCCTGTAGTCCCAGCTACTAGGGAGGCTGAGGCAAGAGAATAGCTTAAGCCCAAGAGTTTGAGGTTGCTGTGAGCTATCACGCCACATACTGAGACTCTATGTCTCAAAAAAAAAATGATGAATAAAGATATTAAGAGAAGAAGAGCTGTTGTTCAAGCAGCCCCACTCCAGAGAGGCCCATTTGTACTTTTTCTGAGTTTGGCTCAGAGAGGGGCAGTGTGTTCCTCCAGGATACACAGCCTGTGGGCTGCCTCGTTTCTCCCGGGCTTCGGTGTCCTGGCGGTGGCGGGGTGGGCAGCCAGGCGGTGCAGCTCAGCGTGGGGGGCAGCGGAGTCCGAGGGCTCTGGCCTGCGTGGGCGTAGAGGCGCGCAGGGGCAGACACTGAGGAAGGCCTGTCTAAAGTGGGAACCCAGGAAGGCGTAGAGCAGTGGATTCAGCGCGGAATTACTGTACGACATGCAGTGCGCCCAAGTCTTGAGCGCGTAGGCTGCGTAGCTGCGTGGGTGCCAGGCGCCGGCCGGGCCGAGCGCCTGCAGCACCAGGAACAGTTGGATGGGTCCCCAGCAGGCCGCGAAGAGCAGGACCACCGCTGCCACCAGTCGCGACACCTTGGCGCGTACAGCGCCTGCCCGCTCAGCCAGCAGCTGCGCCTGGGAAGCGCGGGAGCAGGTTATAGGAAAGTGCTGAGGTTCGGCTAGGCCAGCCCCTTCAGAGCTCCTCTCCTTGACCCCCTGAGCTGGACCTCGGTTCTCAGATCCCCCCACCCACGCCTCCCGCCTCTGCATGGCTGGGTCCCCCAACAGCACACCTGGAGAGTACTGTCTGCAGGCGCAGGGCGCACAGCGGCCCGGCCTAGGTGGCGCAGCATGGCCCCGTAGCAGGCACAAGTGGCGAGCAGCGGAAGCAGGTAAAGCGCCAGCAGGTTGTAGAGCGCGAAGGCGCGTTCGAGGGCGCGGCTGGGAAAGGCCTCGCTGCAGTAAGTGCGTGGTCCCGGCGAGAGGCGGTGCAGAGCAAGCACCGGCGCAGACACTGCGGCAGAGCCTGCACCAAAGACTCGGATGAAGACCCTGCCTCCGGAGGATAGAAGGGCGTGGAGGGCCAGGGCTTGGTCCTCAACTCCCAGGTGGTTCTCCGCCCCCATCCCGAGTTCTCTGAGCCAACTTGCCAAATGCCTGGCGTTCCAGTTGGCACCCTCGGTGGCCCTTTGCAGGAAAAGCTTTTTGCCCATTTTTCAGATGTCCCACCAAGGCACGGGGAGGGGCAGAGGGTGGCTCTGGGATCAGCCCAGGGCATGAGGACTCGTCTCCTTATCCCTGCTTGGCCCCTGCACTGTACTCACCAGCCCAGATGCTGAGGCTGACGGCGAGTGCGAGGCGGGGTGTGCGGCGGTGCAGGGCACGCAGCGGGAACACTGTCACATACCAACGGTCCACGCTCATGGCTGTCAGAGTGGCACACGTGGCCTGCACTGAAACCTGGAAAAGCGGAACTGGGCGTGTGGCCACCTGCCTGGTTTGGCCCCTGCCCTGTCTAGCCACCCTACAGGTCCCCCCTTATCTCTGACCATTCAGGCACATACAAAATGCGTCCTGGGAAGGGTGTCTAGTGGCCACGGTTTGACAGGGCAGGAGGGATTGGGACCTGGAAGAGGAGCACAGGAGGGTAGGAAGAGTGAAGCCACTTGAGAATGATTACCCTGAGTCTGAGATAGGGAGAGGACAGAGCCATCCTGGGAGGAATAGACTGAGTAGGAAGCTGTAGAGTCTAGGTCACTTTCCCTTGGCCTACCTGTCACCGCACCCTTACCCATGACTCTGAGTCCCTGTCTGTATCCTTCCTCATTTCCCCCCACTTCTGGCTCCTCACTCTCCAGCCCTACCCACCCATCTGGGCCCCTCATGCTACACCCCCACAAGCCCCAGGCTCTCCTCAGCCAGGCCCCACACCAGTTTTTACCACTCCCACCATCTGGCCATGCCCATGGTCTAGCCCTGCCCACTCCCAGATTCTGCCTGGCAGGGCCCAAGGTCCCCACCTCCACTCCAAGTCCCTCCTCCCCAGCCCATGCACCTGCTGAATGTAGTTGACAAACTTGCACATGAAGTCTCCCAGCACCCAGGCAGGCAGCGGGTACAACAGGGCCGTGAAGGGCACACAACACAGCAGGAAGGTCACATCCGTGACTGCTAGGTTGGCTGTAGGGGGAGTGCATGTGTGTTGGACAAGGGGTGCTGTGGGTCAGGCCTCAGAACTGCTCAGTGCTCTTGACCCACCCCTGGGCCCCCACTGTTCCCAGTGACCAGCAAGATGGCTCCTGGAAGGCTCCCAGAGTGTATCTTCCACATTCTGGGGCAGAGAAGTTGGGATACCCCCTAGTATAGCCCAATACATCTCAAACAGCCCCACAGCACTGGATCCTGTTTGCCCCTGTCCAAATTAGGAGAGTCTAAGAGGGCCCTCTGCCTCTCTGGGCCTCCTTATCAGTACACTGGAGACAGAGATGCTGGCTGGAAAGCCACCACCACAGAAGAGCCAATACTGACTGAGCACACAGCTGTGCAGGGTAGAGCATCCCATGCACAAACTGAGGCTCAGAAAGCCACAGAGCAGAGGTCAAGTCAACCCCTTCCCCCACCCCTTTTGTTTAGCAGACACCATATCATAGAACCACATCACACCAGAACATCTTGAGTGGCAGGCCAAGGTGCCCATGTGCCACTCTCTCCAACCTCTGCCTGTGTGGGACCTCCCACACTGGAGTTTGCAACCCTTAACCTAAGGCATGGGAAGTACTGGGAAAGGACTCAGGGTGGAGGGAGCGAACCCCGGTATGACAGGCAAGTAAGGAGATGAGCTGGAGTACTCACCGATGTAGAAGTTGGTCACCGTCCTCATCTGCTTGTGGCGGCAGATAACATAGATGACCAGCGAGTTCCCTGCTAGGCCAAGCAGCATCAAGGCAACAAAGAAGAGCGGCACGAGCCAGGCGTCCACGGGCCATGGCGTGAGGTCCAGGCCGTTTGAAGCATTGGCGCTGCAGCTAGGGCAGCCTGATGAGTTAGCCAGAGCCCACCAGGATGCATTGGGTGCCCCCATAGCCACGGAGTGCATGGCCTTGCTGCCTTTCTCCTCCTGTCCACCCTCCAGTATTGTGCTGTGGGACAGACTCTGGGATGTCTTCCGGCCACCTGCCCAGGATGTCTGTGGGAGGTCTTGGCTAGAGGCCACCGGGTCCGAAAGAGAGCTAGACTGGGCTCCGTGGTTCCTCTGCTTGCTCCTGGGCAGGCGCGTGGTTTATACCCCGCGCCCCCCTCTTCCCTGCCTTCCCACCTCTCCAGCGGTGGCTCGCCACTCCCTCCCCTGCTTGTGTGCCCTCCATTCACTCACGCAGCCATCCCCTCCATTTCTTTTTCCTCCTTTGGAGGTCCCACTGAGAGTGTGGAGGGGGCGGACGAAGGGGGGTGGGATGGAGCAGTGGAAGAAGGGTGGACTGCTGGGAGGCTGCTGTGGACCCTGGAAGGGCTGATCTTAATCAGCCGTTAGAGACTCCCAGGCAAGACAAGCAGTGTGGGCAAAGGCGGAAAGACAAATGCTTATTAATGCCAAGGACTTGACCTTCCAAAAGACTGGGGCTCCAGGTAGGTGGGCCTAAGCTAATGGTGAGCATGCCTTGGGTTTGTTCCTGGGCACTAAGGAGCCACCGGAAGTTTTAGGGGAAGTGAGACTGAATGTTGCAAATCAGACTTCTTAGGCATGTCTATGTCTCATGAGCTGGTAGAGAATGGCTGATACCTGGGGTCCCTGGACTCAGGTACCACTGGGGCAGGAGCCAGGTGGAATGCAGTTTACAAAGGCCACAACCTTGACCCCATAATCCCACACCCTGGAAAGCTCTCCCCCAACTCTCCTAAGGAGGCCTTCTAGCCCATCCTGGATCAAATGGCCAGGGTATGTGGCATCATGGGGTACAATGCAGCAGATAAATAGGTGCTGCCACTTGTGTGAAAAAGGCTGAAAGGGGGGAACTAAATGAATAAACATTCAAAAGCTTATAAAGGCCTCAAATATTTCCAGAAGGAGGCACAGGAGTCTGGGGGAGGAGGTTTTCCTTTCCCTATTCATTCATGTTGTGCCTTGGAAATTATTTTCTCTTTCTGTGACTCTCATTCTCTCTCTCTCTCTTTTTTTTTTTTATGAGACAGAGTTTCACTTTGTTGCCCTTGGTAGAGTGCTATGGCATCATAGCTCACAGCAACTTTAAACTCTTGGGCTTGAGAGATTCTCTTGCCTCAGAATCCTGAGTAGGTGGGACTACAGGCTCCTGCCACAACCCCTGGCTATTTTTTTTAGAGACAGGGGTCTCACTCTAGCTCAGGCTGGTCTCAAATGTCTGAGCTCAGGCAATCCTCAGCCTCCTAGTGCTAGGATTATAGGTGTGAGCCACAGTGCCTGGCCCTCTGTTTTCTTTCTTTCTTTCCTTTTTTTGAGACAGAATCTCATTTTGTCACCCTGGTAGAGTGCCCTAGTGGCATAGCTCACAGCAACCTCTAACTCTTGGGCTCAAGAGATTCTCTTGCCTCAGCCTCCCAACTAGCTGGTACTACAGGAGCTTGCCACAATGCCCAGCTATTTTTTTTTAGAGATTTTGGGGGGGTGGGTGGGTGGGTCTCGCTCTATCTCAGGCTAGTCTCGAACTCATGAGCTCAGGCAATCCATTCACCTTAGTCTTCCAAAGTGCTGGAATTACAGGTGTGAACTACCACGCCCTGCCCTTTCTTTTTCTCTGAGACATGGCCTCCATCACCTAGGCTGGAGTGCAGTGGTGTAATCATACCTCACTGCAGCCTTGAACTTCTCCACATCAGCCTCCCATTGTGTGGACTACAGCTATGAGCCACCATATCCTACCTAAAAATTATTCCTTTTTTTGGCCAGGGCTGGGTTTGAACCCACCACCTCTGGCATATGGGGCCGGTGCCCTACCCTTTTGAGCCATAGACACTGCCCCCTAAAAATTATTCTTGACAATGGTCTACAAATCAAAAAAGGAGGAAAAGTCCATTTGGGGCAATGATGAGGGACAGGTTTGGATAAGAGACAGTAAGTTTACTGGGTAGGGGCTAGAGAACTGTTCTGAGGAACCTGCTGAGTCTAACTGGCTTGGGAGCAGACCCAGCAGGTAGCTAGACCTTCAAGTTGGAGGGATCTGTGGAGAAATGGCAGCTCATGGGAAGGGGAACTGAGGGTATGGAGGCCAGGGAAGGTGGAAGGTTCAGGACAGGTCCCTTGGCAGTGAAGTCCAAGAATGGACTTAGCCTGGGCTAAGTCTGGAAGTGATTCTTGCTATTTCACTTCGTGTCCTTTTATGGAGCAGCTACCATACCCCATTAGAAAACTGAACATCCGGCTCGGCACCTATAGCTCAACCGGCTAAGGCGCCAGCCTACACCTAAGGTGGCGGGTTCGAATCC